ACGCATGTCGTATTTCAGCTGGCCCTCGTCGTTTAAGGATGGCCGGAGTAGTACAAGCTTTCCGTCGACAAGAAAGATTACTGAGGCAACGGCAACATCCTGAGATGGGTCGCCATCTGTTAACTGCGTGTCGGGCAATATCCAGCTCAGTCCCCTCACTCGAGCTGGAGATCTGACAATGCCGTGAAACGCAATCTGGCCTACTTGTATGAGTCGTATAGAGCCGCCATGTGGGGTAAAGATAAAATGGTACAGCAAGTTTTCGTAAGTGTAGACAAGGAGCGAGTCCTCGCCAGAAGTGGTCACAAGGACCACAGGGGCTGGGATTGTCTGAGTATGTAGTATCTGGGCCGAATCGAGTGCTGTCTCGCGCGAAAACAGTCGTAGCTCGAATCTTCTGTTGGCTTCTACTGCAGCAACAAGAATGTGTTGATGCCAGCACATGCCGCCTCTGACCTGGAACTCATTCTCCATAGCCTCGTTGGCGAAAGTCTTCCAGCGGCCGCTATTCACGCTGTAATGGGCAAGTCCTCGTCGGCCGGCCACAGCTACATAGCGACCATCGGGAGAGATGACAGTCTGCCGTATCGGCCATTGGTTCAAGAGGTATGTGGGTGGGACCTTCGCCGTATGCCATAGGAATGGCTCTGCCGAAATGCTGGTAAGATCTGGAACATCATAACCTCGGTAGATCATCACACTGGAAGGAGTCTGCAGCACAGTCCGGAAGACATTTGCCTCGTTGTAACACCCAGTAACGGCATTCTTGGCCATCTCCAGGGACCATATAGCTTCATGCTTGCGTCCTGTCATCAGGATCTCGGAGCCACCCCCTACCCAAGTAGCCCCGGAAATTCCAGATAACCATTCTTCGCCATTGGCGCGGGAGGTTGTCTCTTCAGATCCAAAACTATGACTTCCAATCTTGCCAAACATACTCCAGGTAGACCAGCCTTTCTGAAAACCCGCAAAAAGGCAGTAACCATCGGGTGAGTAACTCAGACTAGTGAATGCTCCCGAAGATGCCGTTGATACAGGGACTTGATGAGTATGTGAATGAGGGATGTTGCCTGCATAGTCACGGACGGAGTATACCTGTACTGTCCCATCGCAGCAACCAACGGCGATGAGAGAAAACCTTGCATTTATAACCGCCGCAGTGGCGCGATCGTATTCGCCTTGGGGAACATGGAAACAGTGGCCTTTGAAAAGTCGCTTAGCATCCCCGTCATCGACCTGGCTGCTCTCTGCTCGATGATTGTAGCGCTGAACCGCATACGCTCGTCCGCTGCTCGTGATCCATGTCATGAGATTCATTGGACGATCATGTGTCATCTCAACGATGGTTGCCTTCTTCTCAACCCATCCCATTCGACTAATTATCTCGGTTCTCGTCTGTGAGCCCGTACTGTCCGGTGTCCAGCGGATACATTGCACAGCCGCAGGCTTCCTTGTTGCAACTATCAGCTCGTCGTCAAGAGCGAGTGCGCTCTCAATTCCGGCATCGACCTTAATCACCATTCTAAAACGAACACTGAGGTCGCGAACCCCTGGGCCTTCGCCAGCGCCCCATAATATTTGCTCTGGTGGCAGGCCGGTGAGGCTTCCGATAAGGCTCTGCCTCCTTCGCTGAACATTGCTGTAATTCGCAAAATGGGGTTTGTATACGCGCGAGTCGGAATCAGTAGCCAAGGAGTAAGTGATGAGATAGCCCTGGTCTGTATGTATAACGAGGATAGCGGCGTCAGGTCTCAGTAACAGGTCGACATTTCTGCCGTACGTTTCTAGGGAATAATCTGATCGAATAACCACAGCTAGAATAACAGCAGGCTATTTCGGTCAGCATGAAGGGCGAATGGGCCAAAAATGTCTTGCAGGTCTTACTTTGGTCTGCCAGACTGTAATGGAAGTTGTTGTGATAACAGCGAATAAATTGCCGGAACGTGAAACTCGCAACGCCAGTATGGGGTCTTTAACAGGGATTCCTCCTGTTTCGGTACTTTCAGAAGATTGCGGAGGTCTACTTGATGTATAGTCATCGTGCTCGACAGGTCGGATTCCTGGTGTTATTGGGGTCGGTGGTGGTTGAGTGTCGAGGTCATCAATGGTATGGCCTTGAGGTTGAGAAGTTGAAGGACCAGGCGATGGCGTTAGACTGGAATCGGAGGGACTCGTAAGACCATCATGAGAAACGACAAGCTTAAAGGCCGGAGCTCGACTGCTGCTGGTAGCATGGATGCGTGGTGTTCCAATGGGCCAATACATGGCGGCAGCTTAGCTCCTCAGCTAAGGGTCCAACAGCTGCAGATGCGCGGTGCTTTTGGGGGACCAGCGCTTCGATTGGAAGGGGTTTGCTGCAGCAGAGACTCAAACATGACCCTGCGCGCTATCTGGCTCTAGGAATGGCCCCTCGTGCCATTGACTTGTGATATTGTTCAGGTATGATCGTATTGAAGATGATAGTGGGTTGTCACTGTCGTCGCGGATGAGCTCCTGACGATGTTGTCATGAAGGAGTTTGATTGGTGGTTTCTGGCTTATATAAGCTCGTGTCTTGCTCTTCCCGTCCTACCATTCCTGTCAAGGTGGCACCCTGAACGATATGAAGCCTTGCTACTTGTATACCTGTTCACTATCACAACATTTCTCTCACTGCGCATAATTAAAATAATGTCAGATCCTCTTCATTACCGAACGTCTGGTGCCCAATCCGCAAAAAAATAGCAACGTTTCTTCCCTTTCCCCATACTGTCTTACTACAGGTCCTATCATCTACTAAGGATATATATACATCTATAGTACTCATCGAGCCAACGACACAAATGAACAAAATACACGCATCGTATCTGACTCTGTCGTCCCGAAAACCTGGCTCGTCTTAAGAAAAGTTTACGGCCATGGTCCATGGGTACATTCAGCGCCTGGGCGAGCGATCCTTTGCCAAGCAGTCCTTGGTTAACCTAAGCACAAATCCTTGAGCCAGCCACGGTCAGAAGGGGGTTTAATAAGTTGAATCAAGAAAACAAAGATTGACGCTCGCTTTTGAAGTGGTGAAACATCGGCCCAGCAAACACAACGCTCAAAAGTCAATGGTCCTTCATTTGCGAGGGCCCTCGTGGTCCTTGTTCCAGGCTAGGTCCTGTCCTGGGAGAGGCAATATCCATGGTCCTTGAAGTATTATAATTCCGGTTTTCTTCGCAATGTCAAAACAGGCAGAGTTCCGCTGACATGAACTTCCCCTGCCTCAACTCATTACGCCGTATCCTTCTGCAGCACTGTCCGCGTTGAGAAGGGGCTTCCTTTGGCTTCGAGTGTGGCAGAGCCTATGGCAGTGGTCCATTCAATGATATCCATGTTCCGGGTCGGCTCGCCTTGCATATCAGATGACAGTGTAATGTCCGAGTCTTTACCAGATGAGCAGTCCGAATCATGGGATTTGGGTCCAGACATAAATTTGAAATCCAATGAGCCTATGTTGGACAGTAGACCTGCGTGGCTTGCGGTAGAAGCCAAGTCCCGGGACAGCTTTGTGCTTAGATTGCGCAGAGATTTGTATCGCTCAATGCCCTTGGGTGAGATGTGCTCTCCCTCCTCAATTAACGTTATCCCTGCAGTTTCTTGTCTGTTTCTGGGCATCGCCGTCAATCTCATGGCTATCACGGATGTGACTACGGCCATTTTCAGGATATAATCTCGAAGCCCGACCATGATCTCGATTCTTGACTTCGGGGGTTGCGTGAAGCAGTGTGACTGAGAAATGATGCAGCTAAGTGCAACGAGACCAGCGATAGTGCCGAGACGGGCTCTGTGACGCAGTTGTCAGCTTCTCTTCCAATCCCCAGTCCAAGGCGCCTACTGCTGAAAGGCCGGTCCGTGCAAGAGAAAGGAAACCACAGCAGACACGACTAGCAATGAGAAGATTCTAGACATCATCAGCATAAAAGCTTTGGCGAGCGCATTCGGACTTACGCAGCATCCAAGTGAGAGTGCGGAGGTAACCCCAAGGCAACGCCAGCACCAAGGAGAGTCCCCGCGGGTAAGATGATTGCGACATGGCGTACAATTCGCCATATGAAACTCCCTGCTATGTTAGGCATGTTGTCCATGGCAATGGGTGGATTGGGCTGAAAGGAGAGGGAGGGAGCAGCCCAAAACTTCTTTTGAAATTGGAGTGATAACGTTTACTCGAGACAGACAATGAAATCAGTCCAAGGAACAATACCGTTGGCTTGACTGGCCGTATCAAAGTTCTTATATTCATGGACGCCCAACGCAAAGCCCGAAGCTAGCCAGTGTTGGATCCTCGCCACCGGTACGAAACAATGGATGCCAGTGGTTAATGCAGCAGTCAGCCAAATCATGTTCGTCTGTTCGCCTCAAGAAAGCTGCATCCTGGGATGATAGGCTCGGCATCAAGTCTCAGATGTGAGGCATTCATTTGTAATTGTCCCAAATTGGCCGCTTCTATGCTTTACTCGCATATAAAGTAATCCGAGCCTATTGAGTTGGCCCACGTACGAGGCAAAGTAGTCGGTTTGTGGTTGAGTGTTGGGCGGGCGAACCATATGAGGCTCAAACGATTGGCTGACGTTGTCTTCACGTCTTCTGAGCTGAGTATGCCTTACAACCATTTCAACCCAACATCAGCACGATCATTAGGCATGGAAGCATCAAACCAAGGAAAGTCTTGGGAATTATGGCTGTGTCAAGAGTGATGTTGGTCCATCCCATGCTGTGCCATAACGACGCATGGAAATCCTCTCCGCGTTGCCGGATGGCAGATCGGTATATCGACTATACCCAGGTTGATTGAGGCCCGCTCATTGGGTTGCTGTCCAGGTAATGATGCCCAGAATCCTCTTTGGTCCGGGAAGGACTACTTATAAGACTACATGGACCCAATGATTTAACGTCAGGAGAAGAGAGCAAAGTTGTTTGGCTCGAGACTGATTGACTACCTTCGCAACACACTTCCCTCCGTGCGGGACTTCTTCGCTTCTCATGACTATTTACTCGAATGGAAAGTCCCAACCGTCTGAAAAAGGCTCTATCCGCCATGTGCCGCTCATCCCATTCGTGGCCGATGTGGTTGAGCTTCTACCAGCAGGTGGAAGCGCTTGGGTCATGTCAGAGTTCATGCACCAAATGCGCTCAACTGCTCATTTACCAGACACGGTGAGTTTGACTGAGTACGCTATTGCTTTGGCAATCTCATGGGGGAGTTTGAATCTGCTGCACATGTTGCTTTCGGGAGATAGAAACTGACGTCTTGGTTGGTGTAAGACCTGGCCGCAGACAGCGCGCTCCGAATCGCTGATCAGGCTTTCTCAGTGGCAAGTGCTCACAGCCTGTATCATCTACGGTTGTTCGGTTGCTTCATTTCTTCATCGGCGACGCCTTCGGGATCCTAACATGTCCCCCATCTTTGCAGCCTGCGTATCATTCGGCATGCTGGTAGGAAAATGTACTGGTGCAGGCTTCGACTATATCATGCTGGTTCATGTATCTTGGGCGACATGTTTGGCTATGGTTGCAAGCGCTATATGCCTGCATATTCAGCCACGACTGAATGAATAAGTTGAGTCTGAGTCTGAGATTGTGATGGAAAGGGGTATGTTAACTGCCCAGAGAGGAGTCTTAAACACTCGGGTTAACCTTTGCATTATGGTTGTGTAAAGCCCACTAGGGATTATGTTGCCCAGACAAAGATAAGAGCCTGCGACAATGGTGAACTAGATATATGATACACCTACCTATTTCTGAGCCTTGGTTAAATCTTTTGGAGTTTCCTGCAATTTTGTTGGATGATGGTCTACTCTTCCACTCTTCCTAGGTATGTAAGATCTCGTTATCGTTTTCTACGCAATGACAGAGTTGCGGCATCGTTCGTGGGGGGGTTTGTTTGGCCATAGGCCCAAAGAGGATACATTCTCTTATCATTCCGGGGTAGTCTATCTCGTCATGATTGAAGGCGTGAGATAAGCCCGCTAGGAATGACACTAGGCAACTGGGCGTAGGTGACAATTCAAAGGGCGTGGTCAAGTGCCGATATCGTAGCGATTATTTGGTATGACGGCTCAAGCAACAAGCGGCCACCGCTCCTTGACCATGGTCACGCGCAACGTAGCACAGCGGAATACACAGACCAAGTGTACGTAATGGATAACTAATTGAATAAAGAGTTCTGACCTCGTGAGGCGTCAATGACACAACCCCGCTCCCTTGCCCGGAGCTCCGGTGTAGGGTATCTGGGATACAGCCGGCTAAGATCGGGCGGAGACTGAGAAGCCCGGCACCGGCGACGTTTGGTGCATCTCCCGGCTCCGAAGGGGATTAATAAGACACCCTTTTGTATTTTGACAACCTCCTGTCTCTGTTCTTTATGAATTCCAAGTAACGAGTTTCTATCTTCAACATCTTGCTAAATCTTTAAAACCCCCCCTGCTCCTTGGCCCCTCCACGAACCCCTCAGTCTGCTCCACTTACACGGTGCACAACATCTCATACCTTCACACACCTCCATGATGCTCCCAGCTGTGAGAGGATCGCGTTTTGGGCCATTGGTTCGACATGGTCGCTCACTTCATACCACATCGCGATGCCTGTCAAGCGCCGAGGCTGCCCCGGCTGCCCGTCCAGCGCATTATGATACCTCTCAGCAGCTCTCCGCTATCGATGCCGTGAAGGAGAGACGGCTGAAAGCAGGAAAACTCGTGGCTGGAGTTGCTGCTGCTTCAGATAGTGACATGTTCAAGGGACCGGTGAGTTTAGGAGTTGGAGTGACAATTGTTCTGAAACTCACTGCAATAATAGACTACTGGACTACCCAAGTCCAAGCGATGGGATAGTAAGTGCTAAGAGAACACCTCAGATTTCATAAATATAGCTTACATATGTCTACAGGCCATTTGAGCCACGAGAGTAGGGTGCGAGAACCATGCACTCTCAAGCAAGCAGCTCGCTACATGAAGAAACCTGGCCTTATCTCACTGGGCGGTGGCCTGCCGTCCAGTGAAGTTTTCCCCATCGCTGAACTCGGTTTCAAGGTTCCCGTCGCACCAAAGTTCTCCGAGAAAGAGACTGAAGAATCGGGTCAAACTGTAACAATTGGAAAATATGACGTGAGAGATCGCGGAGGCACTTATGACTTGTCCATCGCTTGCAACTACGGCCAAGCCACGGGATCCCCGCAGATGATGAGATACTTGACTGAACACACTGAGATTGTGTATAACCCTCCCTATGCAGACTGGAAAGTTTGCCAGACAATCGGCAGCACTGGAGCATTAGAAGAGGCGCTACGGATGTTCTGTGACAAGGATCGTGGCGACTCAATACTCACTGAGGATTTCAGCTTCTCGACCGCCCTGGAAACAGTTGGTCCTCTTGGCGTGAAGGCATTTGGCGTGGCGATCGACGAAGAGGGCCTCGTCCCCGAGGCTATGGATGAGCTCTTGTCAAACTGGGATGCTAAGGAACGAGGTTCGAGGAAGCCCCATGTGTTGTATACTGTTCCTTCAGGACAGAATCCCACAGGCGCAACACAAGGAGCCGAGAGACGAAAGGCCGTCTATGCCGTCGCACAAAAGCACGATCTATACATCATCGAAGATGAACCATACTACTTCCTCCAGATGCAACCCTACACGGGTCGCGACCAGCCAGAAGTGCCACCACCAGAGACGGTGGAGGAGTTTGTATCGTCTCTCATTCCGTCACTTCTAAGCATCGATGTTGACGGACGAGTTATGCGTATGGACTCCTTCTCAAAGGTTCTCGTGCCAGGCTCCCGTCTTGGCTGGATAACAGCGTCGGAACAAATTGTTGAGAGGTATATCCGACACGCTGAAGTCGCAAGCCAGGGCCCCAGTGGCTTCTCCCAGGTCATTCTGTATAAGTTGCTTGATGAGACATGGGGACATGAGGGTTACTTACGATGGCTCATGAATTTGCGACTGGAGTATACAAAGAAGCGCAATGCTCTTCTGGCCGCTTGCGAAGATCACCTACCTAGTGATCTTGCTAGTTGGACCCCCCCCGTTGCTGGCATGTTTGTAAGTGCACCGCACCGATCCACATGGAAACCGTCGACTAACTCTGCAAGATGTGGATTAATATTGATCATACAAAGCATCCTGAAGCAGGAAAGCGAAGCATCGTCGATATCGAAGAAGAGATTTTCAACTCCTGTATCGAGAATGGTGTTCTTATCGCCCGGGGCTCGTGGTTCTTGACTGAGAAGGACAAGGCACCACCGGGACTCTTCTTCAGAGCGACGTATGCATCTGCAACGCCTGAGAATATGAACAAGGCCATTGAAAGATTCGGGAAGGCTGTGAGGGATAGCTTTGGTAGGAAGTAGACTTTGTCTTGGCAATCAGTTGCTGGAAGCAGGGACAAGTTTGAAGATTAAGACAGTTAAGAACACATAAGCCAGTCTGTTTTGGGGGAAAAGAATTATAAGTACGAACATCTCGATATCGTGCATATCAAATTTGTGCATCATCCGCGCAATCATCATTATTCACATAACACCAAAAGACTAATCCTGGGCTTCCCAGAATGCAACCTTGACTCCCTGGCCTGGTGACAAGACAATGTCTGCTTTGAGGAGCGGCTCGCCTCCATCAACGTCCTTCATCTGACTCTCCACACGATCAAATTTCTGGAACAGGCGAACCAGAACATAGCTCATCTCCGTCAAAGCAAACTGCTGACCGATGCAGATTCTGGGACCAGCGTTGAAAGGGATGTAATCATGGGGCTTGGGATGCCAGTGGGCCCATCTCTCGGGGCTGAAGATCTGAGGATCAGCAAATGTATCGCTGATAGGAGGATACAGATCCGAACGTCTCTGCATGACGAGGGTGGAATATGCAACTGGCGAGTCCTTCAGAACGGGGAGCGGCTCAGAACCATCTGGACCGCCGCCTCGAGGAAGGGTCGTGTCCTTGAGAGCAAGACGAACGTTGAAAGGAACAGCCGGGTATAGACGAAGAGTTTCGTTGAGAACAGCCTTGAGATAACTCATACTCTTGAGATCCTCGTATGTTGGCGTGCGCTCAGTTCCAAGTGTGGAAATGATCTCAGCGCGCAACTTTCTCACAGCATTAGGATATCTACCAAGTTCATAGAGAGTCCACGATAGCGTCGCAGCAGTGGTATCTCGCCCCGCAAGCAGAACAGCGATTATCTGATCACGGAGGACTGTTCGGTCCCGTGTAAAGCCAGCGAGTGCATGCAGAAACGTATAGCTGTGATCGTCCTTCGTCTTGGAAGCCAACTCTTCGGGGCTTAGACGGAGTGCACGTTCAATGTAGAAGTTGATGAAGTGGTTGACCGTGTTGAGACCGCGCCAGAAACGATACTTGGGGATAATATGGCGAAGTTTTCCGACACGAGCGATGATGTTTTGAATGTGCTGAACTTCATTGAAGGCTTCTGCAAATTCTTGCTTTGGCGTACTGGGTTGTATATGTCAGTGAATGATCCATATCATATCATATTACTCGTTGGTTGGTTACTCACGTGAGAGACTTGACATCCCACCCGAGAAGAAACTCAGTAGCCACGTCGAGAGTATAGCGGAAGAATAAATCACTGATGTCCAAGACCTTTCCATCTGTATTGTTCATATCGACAAGTTGGCCCTCGCCTTGAAGTGGTCCTCGGTTCGCAATGGCCTTGAAAAGAGTCTGCATATGGGCCTCGAAGCAGTGCAAGTCACTCACACGGTCCCTTGTAAATTGAGGCCTGATGAGCTGCCGACTAGCATGCCAGGAAGGGCCATCAGTAGTGAAGATACTATCACCGAGAAAGTCCTTCCATTCTGCGTGGAATGGCTGTCCTTTGCCGTAGTCGACGAACTGGGTTGCCAATATGGCTTTGAGGTTCGCTGGGTCGGCGGTGAAAATTGTTCGAACACCAAGAAGGCGAGCCTCAGCCGTCCATGAGTTCAAGGGCCCAAAGATACCATCCCTCCAGGATGCCAGGTTGTTGTGCTTGACGGTAGATCTGACGAATCTCACGACGAGATCAAGGCCTGGAAGGGGTAAATGTGAATGGACTCAACATGCAAGGGTGGGATTCGACTTACTCCAAGGAGCATATGTTTTCAGTTGAGGTCCATAGCGACCGAGGCGTCTGATTCTTCGGTGTTCGTCAATGCGACAGATGATAGAATAGACTCCGTAGGCGATGAAGAGGACGATGAATGTGGTCTTGACGGAGATTTGCTCCAGAAGAGCTTCTACGACACCCATGCTGAAAGATTGAAGAGATCTACCAGTTTATAAGTAGTACAAAGTCAAACTCAACAAGCTAAAGTTTGCCTGGTAGAAATAGTATCCTGGGGTTCAAGCAATTATAGAGTGTGGGTAGCGCTTCTAGTCATGTGTGGTTGGATCTATCCGAGCATCAAGAGCACGGACGAGGACCAGATAGATGCAGAGCCCACTGGCCTCAACCGCCGTTAGTTACGGATCTAGAAGCTTATAAATATAACTCCCTGCCCATGCTCTACATCTTGGATAGGCTAGTCTCGTAGCACAGCAACTGTTGGAGGAACGGAAGTGCCA